TTATCCACAGTTTGAATTCAAATTCTTAATTTTTTAATTTTTTTTTATTTTTTTTTTTAACAGTTTGGGTTTGAAGGATTTGGATTGGAAGGGACCTTGTAGCTCATCTAGTTCCAACCCCATGCTACAGGCAGGAAGACCTTCCACTTGGCCCTGTTGAATTTTATGAGATCTGCACTGGTCCACCTAGTGGGCCAAGATGTTTTAGCCTTTGTTTTCTGTTTCTCATGGAGCCATGCACTGTCTCCTTTCTAGCACAAATGTACACTGCCTCACGCCTCAACAACAGCTTCTGTACAATGCACATGTCTTACCAAGCAAACAGGTGCTACCAGAGAAGCCATGATCCTCACACAAACCCAAGTACGGTGATACCACCTGCTTGACGAGTTCTTCCAGCTGTAGGTAGCCCTCACTGGGTCCGGTAGGCTCATGGACACTCTGAAATTCAAACATTAAAGGCAACATTACCCTTACCTACTTCTGAGTAAAGTTTTTGAGTGAAGCCTGGCATCTGTCAAATATCTCTGCACTGGAATAATTCAACCCTATCAGTAGACCACTTGGAGAAGCACAGTTGATAAGCCAAAATGGAGCTTTTGGGTGCCATTCTGGTCAACCTCCATGTTCAACTCATAGCTATAACCCTATAGACATCATGTACCTTACTGTCTTCTTTCTGATGAATCGATAGGAAGGTACAAGGTACACTCACACCAAGGATTTGCCAGTTCTACCAGGAAACAGATTTTTGTAGAAAAGCCTTAACACACCCTTGGCAAAGCACTGCTCCTTTCCTAGGCAGGACGGCAGGAAATGCACCCTCTGTAGTTCAGCTTACAGCTGTGAAGGTGGTAGATAACGCTAACCAATTTAACAGTAATTTCAGAAACTGCTCACAGGCTTAACTTCCTGCTAAGTCTCAGTAAGCTTTTCTTTCTAAGACCCTCTTTGCCCTCAAGATTCTTTTATTAAAATATTTCAGGGAAATTAAATTGACACTTTAGTATAGTCTGCTTTTAAAGTCTGGGTCACTGGGAATATGAGAACAGCAAGAACTCACACAGAAATACCAGCTTAGCCACTCTGCAGTTTTGATTGCACTTGAGGAAGTTTCATTCCCTGCCACTCTTTATAAGTGGAGAAGAAGTAGAAGTGAAAGATACCCAAACAGCCACCTGGTAACATTGTATTTTGCAGGACTGCCAGGCTGGGTGACATAAAAAGATAAACCAGCTGGTATACTCGAATGTATTGGCATACTTGGAAAATACTCTCTTGAGGTCTGGATGAAAAGGTTAGTCCTCCCAAAAGGTTTGGGAGAGGCCTTTGGAAGATGTATAACATTTTGCCTGCTGCCAAAAGGTATTCCTTCTCTCATGGGAGGCACTGCTCAGTACCCCAGCCAGCCAAGGAGCTGGTGTCAGGCAGTTGGCAGCCACAGCTCATCCAAATTCCACAGTCCGCTGTGATGTGATAAAGCTGAGAAACGATGATAACTAGGGCACAAAGAGGCCTTCAGAAAATTTGGGAGATGAAAATCTATGTGAGGAAAAAAAAAATAAAAGAGTCCTATGACTGTTCCTAGCTGGAGAGGAGAGGTACCAAGAAAAATACAAACACCAAAGAGCAGAACCCAGCGCTTGCATGGCAACTTCCTTACCTGTCCCCAGGGAAATTCAGTACATTCAAATTCAGCTCTCATTTCTACACTTCGCATTCCCAAATTAGCACACATTGCTCCCCCTTCATCACACCCTCTTCCCTCCTCACTCTCCTTTCCAGCGTTCTTAGTAGTTCAATGAGATTGAGACACCCACGGGGAGTTAGATGAAGAACAGAGGCTCCCCACCTGCAGAATTAATAGCATCTGGACAATGGAAGCTGGGAGCTTTGTCTGGACCAGAGGAAGAATTTCTTCCAGCTTTACTTTTAGCAAGACCAAGTCTCTGAAGCCAAGGAGAGCAATCTGACGGATCGTCAACTCCTGACCCTAAAAAACACAGAAGGCAAAGTCCAAGAGTTGGTAAAGGCATGTGTAAGCATCACATCAACACACGTATGCACACAGAGAGAAAAGGTCTATGCTGCCCTTGCTGCTGTGTCAAAGCACCCCCAGCTGATAAGGCTGAAGATTCATAGTACTCTTTGGTCACTTCCCTGTCAGTCTCTGTCCCACACCAATTCTGAAACGAGTAACACCTCACCTGAGATGCCACTAGGTTGGGAGTGAAGCCACAAACGGGTCTGTATTTCACCAAAAGACTACATATTCATGAAATCAAACTGCCACCCAATTTGCTCACAAGCATCGAAAGGCCAGACAGATGCAGCTCCTGCTTTTGAGCTGAGAAACCAGAGAAGGTTTGGTTGGTACAGAGTATTCCTTAACTAAGCCTACATCCGGTCTGTGCTGAATCCTCTTTTTGGTCAAGGTCTACACTTTAGACCTTGCTGATATGACAAAAATCCACAAGTCAGTCCATTGCAGGCTTTGGGATTTAGGCTACAGCAAAACTAGCAAGACTGCTTGTACCAAACATCATTTTAAAGAGCTTTGATCATTTTAAGGAGCTACAAGGTGCTCTGTATCCTCCCAGTTAGTCTTCTACATCAACAACGCAAGTGAGCAGGCTTAACAGACAAAGATGATGTAATATTTCTCAGCATAAACACATTTGGACTCCATTAGGCACTCTGGTGTTACTGTCTTTCCCTCTGCTATGCTTAACATCCACATGGCTTTCTCTTGCCCCACTGCAGCTTAATAGCAGAAATTTTCCTTCCAGCCCTGCCCTGCAATTTCTAGCCTTAAGAATTTCTCTTGTTCTTCCCAGTACATTAATCTCTGCCCCATGGTCTGTTTGGGAACCATTTTATGGTCTCCGTAACACACTCAACATGGCAAATATTTAGCTGGAAGGAATTAAAAGCAGTTAATCATTAATTCCTAATGGGTTTAATGTCATAATTAACAGCATTAATATGTAAATAGAAATTAAATCCAATAGTCTGGAGGGCAGCTCTGCCATAATAAAAGCACTGTGCTGTTTTAAACCATCACTGTGTGTTTAGAAACACAGAGGTGTAGAAAAGACCGGTACATATCTCTGAACTATATCTCAGCAGCTGCACACTTCTTATTTATATCATGCAGTTTAGTCCCATTAACTTCATACCCTATTTCCAAATGCAAACATCTTGTCGTGCCAAACAAAACAAAATTTGCTATTCTTTTTCCACACATCAACAGCTGCAACTATATGAAAGCCAGTGACCTGTTTACACAGTTTCCCTCTGTACAGCAATTTAACCAACTTGGCTGGCTTAAAGGTCATATTTCTGTAACAGCTATGAGCCTCAGGTTTAAACTTAGCTGAGATAGGAAGTTACTTCTAGTTACTACCTTCAGTATCATACGCTCACACATTCAGCTGACTTTCATTCTGAATGGGCAGTTGCTAGAGCCACAGAAGGGCACAACCAAATAATCACACTGACATTTGCAGCAAAGAACAGGGAACCAACCACAAACTGACTTTCCCATCTACCAGAGAAGCAGATAAAGAACTGTGGCTTGGTGAAAGAGATTTATTACATGAGCTCTCTTCACATGTGGTGACATGCCATATAAATAGGGACATACAGAACCCTAGTTATAGGAAGAGCCCAATCTTGTTATCAGGGCACTGGCCTGGGATAAGAGCAATTTCTTATTCCTTGCTGTGCCAGCAACTCTCTCTGTTGCAGCCTCAGAGAGCTCACCCAGACTCAAATTCTTATCATAGCATCACAGAATGGTTTGGGTTGGAAGGGACTATAAAGCTCATCCAGTTACAACCCCCTGCCACAGGCAGAGGCACCTTCTACTAGACCAGGTTGCTCAAAGCCCCGTCCAACCTGGGTGTGTTCTTTGACGTATTTAGGTGGTTTAAATCCATACATTTGTGTAGGCTATAGAGCTTTAAATATGCTGTCTGTCACTTTTCAGTTCCTCATCTGTTAAAAGGCAATACTTCCCTAACTTCAGAGCTTCTATGAAATGATTTTGAGTGACTCAGATATTGTGACATGAAAAATACAGTAAAAAAGTTATGCTTCCAAAGAACTTCAACATCCCAGAGTAAATCTTTCACCACGATCACATAGTTACTACCAAAAGCTGCACCCACTGTGCAGTAACTTTTGTTCAGTTTCTCATTAGAGACACTTAATAGGAGGGGAATAGACTTTTCTTGTAAGTGGCGGAAATATTAGCATCAGTGGGTATGACAGACAAGGGACAATATTATAATTGTGCAGTTTTACCTGCCAAACACCTACCTTTAAGCATCTGCAGCAAGGAAAGAATAAAAATAAACACAGTAGAAAGGTTAGTACCTGTTTTTGCAGAAGTCCTTTCCCTTTTAGGAAGTGCCAGCTTTAACAGGATTAGAGCAAAAGGACAACCTTTGAGCTTTATCTACTGCCTTTCAAACAATACAAGAGAAAATAATTTTAAAATGCCCTGGAAAGCAATGTCTTGCAAAGGAGGCAAGAGTCAAGAGGAGGAGGCTAGCGTTTCCAAGAACGTCAGTCTCCTCATGAAGCACATTTTTCTTTTCCTTTCATGGAAAAGAAGATCAAAATAGGCTGGGGAGGTAATTACACTGCTTGTATGGAAACCCTGACTAGAACTACAATAAAAAATGATACAGCTCAACACTTCCAATGGGATACTCAGCTTTCAAAATACCCAGTAAGCAGGTTTTACATGAAGGTGTTCATTCATCCTCTACCCATAGATTTACTTGTCCCCTTATTAAAGCTTAAAAAAATCCCAACAGAGGATTTTCCAAAAGCACAACTGGGACATAAGCCCTCCAAAAGTAGTTAGGGTGAGTTAGACACATTTGTTGTGATCTAGTCTTCAGATTTGTCCCTCTGAAGACAAGTTGTTAATATTATCATCTGCACCAACAGTCGCAGCAATTTAACAGCAGAAGAAATAGAAATACAAACGGCGCAGAGCTTCACCCTAGACAAGGTATCATCCAATAGTTCCAGCATTCAAGCTTAGCTAAGCACAGAGAGAGTAGGAAAATGGGAATAAATTCAGCCCAAACCCTTGTGCTTGACCACTAGATTTTAGCAGTTCTTCTTACACAGTTAATGCTACTCTACTTCCTCCCAGATTTAGTTTAAAGGTTTTCAGACCTGTTTAGCCAGTGGCCAAAAAAGTGCTGCTGGAACAGAACAGAAGTTTCTATGTGCTGATAGCATTGTTGTTACACTGCCTCACCTGACTGAAGACTGAATTATAATGAAGGTTACCTGGACTGGGTAGAATATTGCCTGGAGTGTAGGAAGAGTCTCTGTAAAATAGTGATCCCAGATTTCAGACAGGACATCAATGCGATCCTCACCTACAAAAACAGATTTGGAGCAAGAGCTTTAGCAACAGGAACACCAAAATCCAAGTTGAATTTTCCCAATACTCTCTCATCCCCCAAATAAGAGACGCAAACCCACCCTTCAGAGTTTCTATCCAAAACTGAACATCACTCAGCTGAGCGTCACCTTAACTGACAGAGACACAAGACTGTGACCACAAATTGCTCTGTCCCTTACTGCAAAGAAGACAGCTCTGTGCGAAACAAGAGACTAATTCCAACAACAAAGTGAAACTCCTCTTTAACGAGAGGATTTAACTCCACAGCAAAGGATTGCAAATCTCATAGCTCACAGTTAGCATGCTCAACTAGCATGGGAGCACAGCCATCTGTTAGGAGCTGAAACTGATAACCAGCTGGTAAATCATAGAATCACAGAATAGTTGGGGTTGGAAGGGACCTTAAAGCTCATTCAGTTCCATCCCGCTGCCACGGGCAAGGACACCTTCCACTAGACCAGGTTGCTCCAAGCCCCTGTGTCCAACCTGGCCTTGAACACTGCCAGGGATGGGGCAGCCACAGCTTCTCTGGGCAACCTATGCCCGGGTCTCACTACCCTCACAGGGAAGAGCTTCTGCCTAATGTCTAATCTCAGTCTCCCCTCTGTCAGTTTAAAGCCATTCCCTCTTGTCCTGTCACTACAGGCCCTTGTCAAAAGCCCCTCTCCAGATTTCTTGTTGGTCCCTTTAGGCCCTGGAAGCTGCCCTAAGGTCTCCCCAGAGCCTTCTCAGAAGAGAAGCCCAGCTCTCTCAGCCTGTCTCCAGAGCAGAGGTGCTCCAGCCCTCAAAGCATCTCTATGGCCTCCTCTGGACTCACTCCAACAGCTCCTCATCCCTCTTGTGTTGTTGCCCCAGAGATGGATGCAGGACTGCAGGAGGGGTCCCACGAGAGCAAAGCAGAGGGGAAGAATCTCCACCCTTGACCTGCTGCTCACGCTGCTGGTGATGGAGCCCAGGACATGGGTGGTTTCTGGGCTGCAAGCACACACTGCTGGGTCATGGTGAGTTTTTTTGTCACCCAACACCCCCAAGTCCTTCTCCTCATGGTTGCTCTCAATCCAGTTTCACCCAACCTGCAGTTGTGCTTGGGATTGCCCCAACCCAAGTGCAGGACCTTGCACTTGGCCTTGTTGAACTCCATCCTGTCCAGGTCCCTCTGGATCCCATCCCTTCCCTCCAATGTGTCAATCGCACCACACAGCTTGGTGTTGTCAGCAAACTTGTTGCGGGTGCACTCGATCCCACTGCCCATGTTGCTGACAAAAATGCTGAACAGCGCCAGTCCCAACACCAACCCCTGAGGAACACCACTCAACACTGGTCTCCATTTGGACATCAAGCCATTGACAACAACTCTTCCAGTGCAACCATCCAGCCAATTCCATATCCACCAAGTGGTCCATCTGTCAAATCCATGACTCTCCAGTTTAGAGAAAAAGATGTTGTGTGGGACAGTGTCAAATGTCTTGTAGAAGTCTGGGTAGATGACATCAATTCCTCTTCCCTTACCCACCATAAGAAGGCCACCAAATTTGTCAGGCACAATTTTAACAGCCAGTATCAACTGTTCTGGAGCAACTGAGTCAGGGAGACCATTTACAAGACCTGAGATCCTGCTCCCAGTCACAGACACAGTAGTCAGGAGCCTGATGAGCCACAAAGCCACTGTGGTCCTCTCAAATATGGCACTTGGGAAAGTTCCAGAATTAAACCCACTTGTGGTCACCTCTCCTATGACTCCAACAAGAACAAATATCCCCAAATATAAATGGGTATTTAAAATGAAGGCAGACTAAGTTATGCAATTCCTGAGTCCCATAACAAGAATACAACTGTGGTCAAAAGCCTATTATTAACAAAAAATGCTTTACTGAACATAATGGTTTGGATAGGCTTTTAAACTATGCTCATAGGCTTGACTTATAGACCTGTGTGTTCCTCAGCATTTGGGCCCAAAACTTTTCAGTTTCTTTGGAGATTTTTCCCATCCCAGAAAAGGCAAAAGGTTTGCCAAGTTTTTCAAGTTTTAGATACCTTCCCCAGAAATGTCAGGTGCAAATACAGACCCAGGTTTAACAATACAAGATTCTGACAAAAGGATTTTCCAGGACACCTTCTATAGAGCCTCAGCTGGAGCTCACAAGCAGTCAAGACTCCAGGAACAGCAATGGAAGGCAACTGCTCAAGACATCTTTGAAGGCTCAGCCTCAAGATGACTGAAGGCCCTAGATGAGGAACTGGAACAAAGGACAACTGCAGCTCAAAGGATCCTTATCACTGTGTGCTGAGGTGCTTTCTCCATCTGGAGACTTGTACACGGGCTTGCACTGTGCTTGTCCATGGATTTTGTGCTGCTTAGGACAGGGCCAGAGAACAGAAAGCCAGCAGGACCAGATCCTGCAGAAGTTTTCTTCTGAGCAGAGAGCCCAAGAACCACCACAGGAGGGTTCAGATGAAGGCTTCACAGTGTCAAGTACGATATCAGCTTCAAAACTGGAACTGCAGGTGAACGAGCACCCACCTAACACCCCCATAACAGCTAGCCAGAAACTGCCAACTGTAACTGAAAAAGACAACAGGAAACAAACTAACTGAATGTTTAATTCCCTCTTCTGCCTCCTCCCCACAGCTGCGCTTTGGTGTGTGGAGCCAGAAAGAAATGTCACAGATCACTTCTCCTTCTGGAGGAGAAGGGGGAATGGTTTGTTTCTTCAAGAAATCATAAATCCTACAGGCATTGAAAGAGATTCTGACAGGCCATATAAAGAAAAACCATGTTAAAGTAAGGCTGTGATTTGAAAAACAGACACAGTAAAACATCGTTATGCCCTGCAGCAGGAACATTATTCTGTCTCTGATTTCTGGGACAGTAGGAATTTTCCAGGAAAACAGCTAACCGAGAAGCACGTACAAGAAGTTTTTGTTGCTGTGATCACAAGAGTTGCACCAAGAAAGGTGCCCTCTTTAAGGCAAAATGCATGAGTCTGCCTTTTTATCTCCCTTAAAGGGCCAGTGCTGAAGAAGCAGGCACCAAGCAGAAGGCTGGCAACTGCACAGCTCCTTCAGGGTCCGAGTCCTACAGCCTGCTGGCTGAGTGGAGCAGTCAGTTGGTGAAGAACGATGCTGACAAATCTGGCACCAATACTGACACAAGACCACAAGACTGTAAGTGCCTATTGGCATTTAATGACCCAGATACAGCAGGCTGGTGATTAGCAAGAGATCTCCCCTACAGGCTACAAAACTGGGTTAAATCAACCAGCAGCCTAGTTTTGAATAAAGACATGTACCCGAGACAGCGTGCTGTGCTTGAGCACACTGTTAATAAATGTGACTAACCCCACGTATCCACCATGGAGTCACCACACCACGCTAACCTCATCCAGAGGCTCTGCCAGCATCTGTAGCCGAGTGGTTTGGACAAAACTCCCTCCGTGTGTGATCAGCTTCTTTCCAGAAGGATTTAATTCCCACCTGAGTAACTGGTTGTTTCTATAAATTTACATAAAGCTTGTCACCTCAGCTCTCAAAAGCATGAGACAATAACCAAAATTATACTTCCATCAAGCTGCAAATCACATTGAGAAATAAAAGGCAGAAGGTAGCTCTCAACAGGATCCATGTCCAGTCCAGAATTGCTCTGAGCAGGTTCAGCTGCCACAGAAGCTGACGTTCCTGCTTTCATGATAGAGAGGTGCCTGGTGGAGGTGTTGCAGCTACATGGCTATTCATACTGCACACCATCCTTTAAGCCTCACAAGGGCTGCAGTGCAACCTGCTCCTGAGAGCTTGTGTGACACCCCAAGACAGTATCAGAAAGGGCTGTATGCTTTTCAGACATGCAAATCATCTCATCTGACCAAACATCAAAGCACAACACTCTTCCAAAATAGGTTTCATATTATACTTGCCTTCACACAGCTTAACCTTCTCCTCTATGAACAGCAAGCCTTTCACAAGGAGCTGGTTCTGCCAAGAGAGAACAGAGACATGCATTTGCCTTTTCTGAGAATTAGTAAACATGAAAGAATTTTTTCTTTCTTTTTTTTTTAAAGATGTTAACCCCTTTGCATGCTGTTATCTAAAGATTACTCATATCACAGAATCATAGAATCGCAGACTTGTGTGGGTTGGAAACACCTTCTATTTCCAACCCCCTGCCACAGGCAGGGACCCTTTCCC